TCAAAGCGCTTTACAGGTAATGGGGACTCCCCTCCACCACCACCAATGTGCAGCATCCACCTGGATGATGCAACGGCAGCCATAGTGCACCAGAACACTCACCACACATCAGCTATCAGTGGGGAGGAGAGCAGAATAATGAAGCCAATTTATAGAGGTGGATTATTAGGAGGCCATGATTGATAAAGGCCAATGGGAAATTTGGCCAGGACGCCAGGAGGGGTTTTGGCGAAAACCCCTACTGTTTTCGAGAAACGCCCTGGGATTTTTAATGACCACAGAGAGTCAGGACCTCAGTTTTACATCTCATCCGAAGGACTTCGCCTGTTTACAGTATAGTGTCCCCGTCACTACACTGGGGCATTAGGACCCACATGAGCCGCAGGGTGAGCGCCCCTGCTGGCCCCACTCACACCTCTTCCAGCAGCAACCTTTTTTCCCAGGAGGTCTCCCATCCAGGTACTGACCAGGCTCACACCTGCTTAGCTTTATGTGGGTTGCCAGTTGTGAGCTGCAGGGTGATATGGCTGCTGGCATATGGATGGGTTGTTGTGGTGAAGAGGAGCGACTCTGTAGGTTGTTTGGTGCGCGGATCCGTGTGTTAAGTCAGAGACCCTGGTGACGCCCAGTGTGGGGTCTGGCGGGCTGGCCGCTCAGCTCCGCTCTGACTGACGGCCGCCCCCCTGCTCCTCCGCAGGTCTCGGAAGTGCTCTCGCAGGGAAAGGGCCGCCTGTCCGTGAGCGGCTGGTTCCACGGGCGCTCCCTGGACAGACCGCCGCGCCAATTGGAGCCCGCGCTGGCGCGCAGCCCCCACCGCCCGCGGGACGTGAGTGCAGCCTCCCCCCGCCAGCAGAGAGGACAGGGATGAGCAGTGTGGCACAACGGAGCAGTTAGAGCAGAGACCAGCCACGCAGGCCTGAAGCTGTCCATTCTGGTTTTCTTGTTCCCTTAATGGTTGAAAGAGATTCAGGAAGTAAAAGGAACAAGAACTAAAAAGTGTGGACAGCAGGGATGAGACACACTGCAGAAGGTTCAGAACGAGATTACAGGCTGTTTGAGTCTGCAGTTATCTTGATATCATATACGACAATCTAAATGATGGAAGTGTGTCAGTTATTTGGTCCAGACAAGTGTGAAATGTGTCCTGCAACTGTGCAGCCGTTCTGAACCAGTCAGACTGAACTGCAGAACCTACCTACCAGAGGACTGTTGCTCCACTTTCATGCATGAAAAGTTATTATTCATTTTTTATTATTATTATTATTATTATTATTATTATTATTATTATTATTATTATTCATGCTAAGCTGAAAAACTCAGGTGTGTGCATTCAGTGTTTTATCGAGCCCTGGATCATTGTTCATGCCTTTCAGCCCGCGTGTCTCTCCCCTCTCTGCAGGAGGCGCTGCTGTACGAGTGGATTAACCCAGTGTATCTGGACATGGCGTACCAGGCCCAGGTACAGGAGGAGTTTGAGGACACTTCTGAGATCCTCCTGAAAAACTTTCTGAAGGTGAGCATCTTCTCCCCTACTTTTTTAATAGAAAAATGTTAATTGGCTACAATGGCAGTACTGTACTTAAATCAAACAGACAGGAAACAAATCTTTTTCATTTATCTGGACACATGATGTGTGTGTTACTGAGACAGTGGAAGTAGCGGTACCTCAATGGTTCTTTTTGTGCAGTGCAGATCCTTCCTGCGTGTTGGCCTTGCAGATGTGTGGAGATGTAGATCATTTCTTTTCTTTGCATTGGCTGTAGGAGCTGTGCCTTAAGTATTGCACACAGATGTTTAATGAAGGCAAGTGCAAAGTACTACATGCAGATTGCAGAAACATAAAATATGTTACGTAAGGTAACATAAATGATGTATTGTGAGACAGTTCCTGGAAGCTAGCTGTGAAAAGGGCTGAAGTGTTTATCTTGACTCATTTTCTCCTCTAGATATGCTGTGGTAAAAAGGCAAACAGGATGTTGGTATATATAATTAAATATTGGTTATAACTGTACAGTGCACTAGAAAAAAAAACATTTAGGGAATTCTAGAATCTTAATGAACATAAATAACATTACAGGCTATTCCTGGGCTTAATGGAAAGTCCTACACTTAATAGTTTTCTTCTTTCAAACTGTTAGCTGGATGAGATAATCAGGCCTATTGTTTTCAGTTTTCTGACTGAACTATGGATTTTCAATTAGAAATTTAAACATTTAAATAAATAAAATTCACATAATATAAAAACAGCTATTTATTTATACTGCACAACAATGATATCTTAACAGCTGGAGTCTGACAACTGGCCTTATTGAGCATCACTATCAACTTTCTGTCAGAGCTGCAGCAAAGTTGCTGTCGCTGCCAGACTGTGTCACAAGCCTCGGCCGGGTTTCTGTTTGAGATGATAAAAACTGGACTATGATTTCTGTTATTTTGTTGTGAGTCTAAAAAGTGTAGAAAGTGGTCCAAACAGCAGTGCTGCTGCAAGCCTCTCAGGTAAGACATGATGGGCCACTGCCGGGCTGAGACAGTGGCCACCGCTGGTCTGGGTGGTCTGGTGCTGTCCCGCACAGCACTCAGGGCTGAAACGACACCTCGCTGTGTTGCAGGAAGAGAAGTTTAAGATGGTGAACGACGCTCTGCGAGAGACAGACATCGAGTGGGTGAGAAGGGGACCTCCCAACAAGAGGTAGATACTGCTTGAGAGCCGCTCTATGCCAGTGGCTGTAGGTGGTCTTTTTGTGAGAGAGTTTGTATTAATTTTAATGCTGAGACACACAACGAACCCAGCTCAGTGGCTATATGTGCAACAGGCAGCCCCTGTGTGTGCAGTGTGCAGTGTGCAGTGTGCAGT